AGAGAGAGATAAAGATAGATAGATAGATAGATAGATAGATATATAGAGAGAAAGAGAGAGAGAGAAAGAGAGAAAGAGAGAGAGAGAGAGAGAGAGAGAGAGAGAGAGAGAGAGAGAGAGAGAGAGAGAGAGAGAGAGAGAGAGAGAGAGAGAGAGAGAGAGAGAGAGAGAGACAGAGACAGAGACAGACAGCCAGGCCAGACAGAGAAAGAGGCAAACAGAACAGAGGCACAAATACAGAGACAGAACCAAAAAGAAAAAAAAAAGAAAAAGAGAGATAAAATAAAAACCCACAGACACAGGCACAAACACCGAAATAAAGCAAAAACCCAAACAGCAGATCATAAAGCACAGGCGACCCCCCTCCGCCAACTGAAGGAAGACTCACGTTATAACTCTGGGGTCGCACTGCAGCAGGAGCCACGTTGGAAGCCTGGGGTGTGTTGTAGAGTTGGGTCGGGGGTCGTGGGCGCGGCGTGGTGGGTCGTGCGGGCTGCTGGTAGAGGCTGGAGGGTTGTTGTGGGCTGTTGTAGTCGTAGCCCGATTGGGGGGCGGCGAGGGCCACGGCTACCAGGAGGGAGAGGGTGACGAGCTGGTGGAAAGGGAAAGAAGGGGGTTTACAAGGGTCTGGGGTTTCGTCTGGGGCCGTCTGGGGATCGTCTGTGTGTGTGTGTGCATGTGTGTGTGTGTGTGTGTGTGTGTGTGTGTGTGTGTGTGTGTGTGTGTGTGTGTGTGTGTGTGTGTGTTGTGTGTGTGTGTGTGAGTGTGCGTGTGTGTGTGTGTGTGTGTATGTGGATGTGTGTGTGTGTGATGTTTAAATATTCATTAGAAAAAAATCAGTTGTTTTCTCATCAAAACCACCAATAAAATACCGAAGTGAGAGCAGTCGAGTACATTTCCGGTGCTTACGGGAGCTGTGCTAGTATCAGTAGCTTAGCTTATTTGGTATATGACATCGAATATACTTCACATGTCATTACACATTTAAAGTTGTGTAGATACCATAGGCTTGTACATTAAATTTCACACACACACACATGCATACATACACAATATATATATATACATATATCCATATATATATATATATATATATATATATATATATATATATATATATATATATATATATATATATATATATATATATATACTAAAACAATTGCAAACAACACACTATCAAATTCAACTGTTATGCCTAAACATCTTACAAGACAATTTAAAATCACAATCTACGATACCACGTTTTCGCTGCCATTCAAGCCTGCAAGCCACACAGTTCACCAAACACAACCCGAGGCAATCAAAAGCGACATAAATCTCACAACAACAGCAGCAGACTCAGACTCACAACCCCGCAGAGAGGCAGAGGGCAGTGGCACAGTCTCCCGCTCTGACCTTCAACCTCCTGTGGCGCGGGTCAGGAGGCTGCGCTGAGGAGGACGGGGGGGGGGGGAGAGAGGAGGGAGGGGGGGTTGGTTGGTTACTTGCTAGGCTTGGGAGGGAGAGGGAAGGGAGGGGAGGGAGGGAGAGGGGAAGGGGAAGGAGGAGGGGAGGGAAGGGAGGGGAGGGAGAGGGAAGGGGAGGGAGAGAGGGGTAAGGGGAGGGAGGGAGGGGAGAGGGGAAGGGGAAAGAAGGAGGGGAGAGGTAAGAGGTAGGGGGAGGGAGAGGGGTAAGGGGAGGGAGGGGAGAGGGGAAGGGGGAGGGAGGGGAGAATGGTAGGGGATACAGGGGAGGGGTTAGGGGGAGAAGGGGAGATGCAAGAGGAAAAGGCTGTCTCAATAATAAGAAGGCTCGGGAAGGGATGAGGGAGGGTGGAGGGAGGGGGGGGGGGTGATAATAAAGTCTCAATTTTAGCCTTCCAATTTTTTAACAATAACGATGCAAGACCTGATTCTTATCTACTTTTCTTTTTTCTTTTTTTAAATTATGCAAGAAATAGTTGAGAACCACTTAACTATTCCTTTAAAAAAAATCAGTAAATCTCTAAAACATATCACAACGTTAGACGGAATATAAGAAAAAAACAAAAAAACAAAAACAAAAGAAGCTGCACTTAGAGGAGGGAGAAAATTTAGTCACACGACCGTACGAAAAATAAATAAATAAATAAAATAAAATAAAAAAGCAAAAATTCAACCAAAGAGCAAAATCAATTAAAGATTTACACTCGTCCTCAGCGGCGTCGTAGGAGTCAGGGTGAAAGTGCCAGTGTGGCATTCCTCCTCCTGAAACCGAGGCACTGTCTCACCCTCCTTCGCCCTCTCCCTTCCCAGCAGTGAATCGTCTTGCAAGGCTCCGCTCGTTGCAAGAATCTGCTTCGAAAAGATGTTTTGGTTCGACTCACGAGATGAAAATAAACATCAGTTTTTTTAAAAATCATTTCTGAATTATTTTATTTATTTATTTATTTATTATTATTATTATTATTATTATTTTTTTTTGGGGGGGGGGTTGAATTCGTATTCAAGGCTACTCTGATTTTTGAATTTCGTTTTCC